AAAAGGACTCATTGAATAATAATATTGCTCCGATGTGGAAATATTCATTAATTTACTGAGTGGCGTTCATACAGTGCAGAATATGCATTTTAGCAGAACAAAATCAGCAGAACAAAATCCTAAAGGACATCCATCCTAATTTCCATTGCTGTGTGATAAACTTTATTGGAGCGGAAGAAGTACATATGCTTTAGGTGGGAGAATGGGAGAAGGGCTGAGATTGGCGTCTACCTTTGGCATCTACCCCAGTCCCATGTAATGTAGGAAAGCCATTAATAACTGGAGCGACACTAGCCGTGAACCATCTGGACGTTTCGTTACAGACTTCCCCCACCGTACCCAAATAAAGCTGTTGATAAAGTGAAGTAGCGATACCTCCTCCATTTCCTTACTAGCTGAATAGAGCCTGGGCAGATATGTCCGGGCGGCTCCAAAGTGGGAACAACGTAGCAATAAGGAATAGACTCGAGACTCTTTCCCTCACGAACCTTTATAAAATCGCGTCCTTCCTTACATAAATCTGCTCTTAGGCCAGAGTTCACACATCTATCCATGGACATGCATGTTAACCAGCACAATTCCTTGTTCCTAAAACCAGTTCTTAAACCAGACGAAACTCAAGATTCAGTGAAATTGCCTAGAGAGATCGGTGACGTTGCGGTCAAATATCTCCTCAGTTGCACATAAATTTGATGACTGGCACGGCCAGATCGCGGGTGCTTCTTTACAGTACCGACTACGTTGTGATGGCTGATGAGGGAGGTTGGCCAATGGGGGGCGTGGGGGACGACGCTCAAAAGGGGAGGGGGGCTATGGTTGTTTATCTCTCGTTTTTGGTGAGGAGCCACTTTTGATTTGGTCTTGGTGCCACGCAGGGTGGACTGGCCTTTGGACAATGCCAGTAGCCCAAATACCTTCTCCGTGTCAAATATATGTATTTCGACCGAGTATTATGCCTTCTCTCGTCATCAGTGAAGTCTCGGGACGCCACATCAACGCATATTCGACATGGAGAAGGTATTTGATCTCGAAGGCCAGCCCAACTGGCGTGGTACAATGGCTGGGTCAAAAATGGCTCTTTACAAAAACGAAGGTCAGACAACCATCGTCTTACAACTGACACTATCAATTTACTTTGTAAGAGTTACTTTTGTTAGTTTTTTACTAAGGAGGAGTACGTTTTCTTCGGTTTACTGCACTAAATGGGCAAACTATATTTGACCGAATTGAATGTTTAATACTTGTTGACACAATTTTTGCAAACCCTATGTTTGATTCTGAATAATTGCACTGTGCGCAAAATTTTTAATTTAAGCCACGATGGCAATTCGCTCCACAGTAGTCAGATATTGATAAAAACAGTTTTACAGTGGATATTTATTGCTGCATTCCTTGTAATAAATGCTCATATGCATCACTAGAAGGATGTTCCTTTTGCACAGCTCTTGAGTGTTTAAATCAATCAGACACGATACATAAGCCCGAGTAGATAAAGTAACAATCATTTGTTTTCGTTTAGTCATTTCGGTTTTAGAGCTACTCGCCATGTCTCTCGAGGTCTTTGGTTTGTTCCCCTCCCCTAAAAATTCACCCTTTAGCTACCTCTTCCTTTTTGCCTTTTCACACACCTTTATTCCTATCTTCGTGCTGAAGGTAAGTTAAAACTTGTATTCGTAGGGCCTTTTAATTTTCCTTGCTTGTTTGAGCCTTTTTTAGACTTCTGTTGTAAGTTGTCCTGAGTTTGCCAAGGGTTTTGTATTGCTAAACTGATGGTTTAACATAGTTTTACTTCAACCACCTAATATTGTTTCCCCAAGATTCGAAAAACAATTGCTTTGTCTCACCACTGAGCATCTACTGCAGCTTGTCTCTGGCCATGTCTGGAAGCTCAGGCAGATCGCACCATGAGGTTGCTCAGGTCCTAAATGTTCATAAGCAGCAATTCAAAGATTACGACAGCACCTTAACACATTTGGGGAGTCGTCTGGATTCTGTTTTTGCTGGAGATACCGGCGAATCCCTGGTTCTGGCAAACGGCCTTTTTTGCAATGCACCATTGAGGTCAACCGATTCTTTAACAAAGCTCTGGAGAAGCATTTCCATGCAGAATCCCATATGGTCAATTTCGCGTCGAACGCTGAAGAGGCTCGAAAGCAAATCAATGTCTGGGTCTCTGATCACACCTGCAAGAAGATCCCCGACCTTATGACCCAGAATTCCATTGACAGTCGAACTCGCCTCGTTTTAGGTAACGCAATCTACTTTAAAGGTATTTCTCAGCTATCTGGCTTATACATCACCCAAATTTATTGCGTGGAGTCGTTACTTGAGTTTGATTGACCGAAATATGGGTATTTAGGGGCAAATAAATTGATTAAGATTGCTAGTAATAGTGGTTATATTTATGCTCTAGTTATCACTTCATTAATTAGGAACCTCAGAGTCCCTTTATCATAGTCATCTTAGCTCCACTTATTGGTCCTTTTGGTTCTCTGAATCCATATTTTAGAGCTCCGAGAACCGTGTAAATTATTCTCTTAGGCGCATGGAAGGAGGTTTATCGCCGCGAAGCAACAATGGCCTACCCTTTCCAAGCCCTTATGATGGAGAGGTTCAGGTTCCAATGATGAGTAACAACGGGGTTTATGAGATGTCTCGCTTTGATGAATTCAGCGCAACGACATTAAAAATTCCTTTCAAATTGAGTATGTTCCACTACCTTATCCCTTATTGGTTCCGTTTTGTGTATTTCCTGGCTTATCAAAAGGGTTGAGCACAGATTTTATAGAGTGCCATTGCACCACTTTTGATGCCTTGTGCCACTCTATTTGAATGGTATTCTTCAGGCATCTCTGCACCCCGAAACAATTGCCGGTTATTCGGAAAATTCCAAACAATCTCATTAGGTGCACTTGATTTCGACAACGTTGAGTAGTGCAAACCATGCAAACTCTTCAGGGTGGATACGACAGATGCGCACGAATAAGTCATAACTCAAAAATTTGTCACCCATAGATACTAAAACCATCATCAATATGTAGTCTACCTGGAAATCAAGTGATGGTTAAGTCATACTGCGTGATTTATTATGATGTGATGTGATAAAATGAGTATACATTTTGCAGTAGAAGGGAAGCTACTCTGTTTATTCATTAGAGAGTTAGCTGTGGTTCAGCTAACCACAAACAGCACTAGTTTTCTGCGTAACAGATAATGAATGGTTGTTAGCTACTTTGTGCAGTTGTGTGTTGGCCTTGAACTTTGCAGGAAGGTAGATTTGAGGTCGAGTCAAACGTTATCGATCTATTAAATGAAACACTCTGATATAGTTTGGTCCAGATGGATGCGAACTATTAAGAAAAAGTAAATTAAATAGTTGGCTCGGGATCTAAATGAGCTTTGCTAAAATAAATACAGCATAAAAATCCGACATGCTTGCAAAATCTAATTCGGTGAAAAGCAGAATGCAACACTGATGCTGTTATGTCATATTCCTCCAGACAAAAGATTGAAGTATTTTTTTCCTAGAATCGAATTTTTAGGGAGTGATTAAAACCTCCCGAGGTAATAGAGTTCTTAAGAAGCTCTCTCACTTCGTGTTTTTTAAACTTCTACCCTAGCCACGAGATGCTTATCGTGTTACCCGACACAGATGTTTTGGAGTTGATGGAAAAGATATTCGACCCTTACCACTTCTCGCACTTCAAAGAGCTCTTCGACAAGAGCAAATACGAGTCGAACAGAGTGGAACTACATCTACCTAAATTCAAACTTGGCGGTGGTGAAAGGCAAAATGTAAAGAAACCGCTGTCTGCAATGGGTCTGGAGACTATTTTTAACCATCTCGCATCACCGAAAAGGAAAAGCTGCACATCTCGAGTATAGTACATCAGGCTGTAATTGAGGCGAGTGGTTGATCATTCCAAATAAATATTTGCTTTGATGTACTTAGTTTAAGACGGGTTCGGTTTGCTTGTAATTCCCTCCATTTATTTGCTTGTTCACTTACTAATTCATTCCACTTTTCCTTCATCGTCAGGTGAATGAGGCAGGAGCAGAGGCAGCAGCAGCAACTGGAATGGCTGTTACGCCCATGTGTATGTGTTCGGAATTCACTGTGGATCATCCCTTCCTCTTCTTCATTGTCACGGAAACTGGTGTTCCCGCCTTCATGGGTCATGTGATCAATCCTCTGGCATAATTTTGCCATGAATTTACTTGATGAATTTCCTTACCTTTCATTTTTTCTCTTGTTTTGTTCTCTTCCCCCAAAATTCAATAGCGCAATTAAATACTGGTGTGCCATATACCCTAGCCTTTTCGTAAATCGGCAAAAATTTTGCATTCAATAAAAAAGTGTATTTACGCAACAAAGTTGAATCTAGTCTGTCAATAGAGAATCTACCAAATGAGCCAGAAAGGCGAAAAAAGGGATTCTGTAACAATGAAGTAGAGGAAGAATTGGCTTACAAGGAATGGGAGAAACAGACATTCGACGCAAACCCTACTCGCGTAGCTGCTTTTGCCTCCACTCCTCCCTCATTCACTCTAAGAAAGTAAATGAGAGTTAGCCAGATTATTATCCCTGAAGCTAACTTGTTGGTATACGGGGGACTTTATGAAGAAATTACGTAGGTGCTGCATAAGCACAAACCATAACAGCCTTTTGGCTGTATCACGAACGGATTGAAAGGCTGAAAGAGTACGCTCAATACAATACGTGTACAGGATAAAATCCGTTTGGTCACACAGCTAGTGTCTCTTTTTGGTCGTTATTTTACACAAATCAGGGGATTATTCTTCTGCACTAATGGTTATAAAGTATATTCTTTGATCCAAATTTAACATAAAAGTACCAGTTTATCAACTAGCAAATGAATATGTCGCACCTTACAAGGAAAATTTACCAAAGTATGCCACGTTCCCGTCATTTTCCTTTCTAAATTAAAAAATCGTATTCTTTTCACGTGGAATAGGGGAAACAAGATTATCAGATAAGTCATTCCTGCTGTAAAGGGCTTGTCAAATACTTATCCTTGCCTACATACACTGCAAAGCAGAGAGCCGTTAGTGTGCCAGTACATTACCTACTAATCTGGTCCCTAATTATTGCCTCTTTTTACACCCAAAACTATCTGCAAACCAAATGGCAAAGTGCCTAAAGTCTAAAGGTGCACCTAATGATATTTCGGATACTGGATTTAACTCAGATAACTTACTTGATGAAGTTAAGAAAAAGAATCCGTTTAGACCTTAAAAAGGCATGACGAGTAGCACTTCAACCCGTAGCTTCTACTAATACACAAACTCAGACTAACATGTCGCATTTAGGTAACTTAAACGAACTGAGGTTGCCGTGAGGCAGTAAAACTAGTGAAAGCTGTAATAGTAGAGTTCTAAAAACTCGAAAGCAAGCGTGCAATCTTTAGTCTTGCTAAGTCCAGATTTAAAAAAAAGAATATAACTAATTAGTAATTAATGATTTAGTTTATAGGAGTGCTGAAAACTTCTTTAAGTTTTAGATTTATTTCGTATATAATAAGCATTCGTGCTTTTTACACAGCCTTCCCACAAGAGAAAATGTGCAGTAGCCCATCTTTGCTAGGGACATTTAAAAACTCAAAACAACATTGGCATACTTAAAAATTTTAGAATCTTCTGGGCAGAAGTTGGGTATTGTAATCTTTTAATTATTCCTCCATTGTCGCTCGAATTGAGTTCATAATCATTTATAAACATAACATGAAAGCACACTTGGTTTGTAATACTAAACTTGACGAAGGCAAGGGTAACAAATGTATTATTGTTATGCTTGAATACTCCCTACAAGAACCTTAGTAATTCAACCAGTAGGAACAGCTTAACAATCACAAAACCTAAAAAGATAGTGTGAATGGCTATGTAAGCAGACAGGTGGATGCATAGAAGATAGACAGATGAGCGGAGTAACTTTTTATTTATGTGATGATAGTAGTACACTGAGGTATCTGAATTTCACCTATAGATCTAACATTCAATAATACTCAGACAATAAGGTTATTGTCCTACTAACAAAAATCAAAGGAATGTGTTTGAAGCCTAGAAGACATTAATTTATAAAAAGATGCGTTAAAAAAGTAGATATTGTTCATTCACAAAGGTGAAAGCAGTCAAGACCCATAAAATTAAGTACGTCATGAAAGATGACACAACAAACAAGGGGCTAG